TAACCCTTTATCAGATATATGATTTGCAAATATTTTCCCCCATTCTGTAAGGTGCCTTTGCACTGTTGTTTCTTTTGCTGCACAGCCTTGTCGTTTGATGTTGCCCTTCAATGAGGTCCTAGTAAGATGGCCACATAGCTGGGGTATTGGGTGATCAAATTGGGTGATCAAGAGTCTTTCTATGGTATCACAGGCGACATAGGGCAAGGACAGCTGAGAGTAGTGTGGGTTAGCTCGGCTGCAGGATGTAGGGCCTGAGTGGTCTACCAGGCCCTGCATTCAGAAGGGCCCCAGTTTAATGCTCTATTATCACTGTCTTTAAGATCTTAACTTCTGAACAAGGGGCTGCACATTATCATCATTTTATGCTGGGCTCTGCAATTGATGTAGCTGGTCCTGGCTTTAGAAGGTCAAGGTCTAGACCTGACTTTAGAAGGCCAAGGAGGGGTAGGGCAAGGGGACAGGGTGGAGGGCAGTCAGGCCAGCCCAAAGCAGGGAGTGAAGGTAGAAGAGACGGGTTGATAACATTAAGAGGTGAGGCTGAATTGCAGGGGGGCCTAGGTTAGGGATCAGAAGGAGGCTGCAGGCAGATTGGAGGCAGCAGCAGAAAGGTAACAGGTAATTGAGGCCAAAGTCTCAGATGCCTGATTCTGGCCACAGCCCTGCCACCTCCTCTTCCTTGTTTACAGTTGGCTCTTTCAGTCCCGTGCCCCGTGCCCCGTATCCAAAGACTGCTGCACCGGGGCTGGTCTCTCTGAGAGCAAATGCCCACTTGCTTTTACAGAACCAGGTCTGGAGGGAGGTTGGGGACATTTGCATGATCAGGCACTGTTAGGTTAGGTGGCTCAGGAGGCGGTATAGAAAATAAAGAGAGTTGATCAGAAAAGGAAGGAAAGAGGTTTTATTCTGTGTCCCCGGGTGACCCACGGACCCCAAAGACAGGGCACGTGGATCCACGCCAACAGGGAGGGGGCCGCTTTTTTTATACAGCTGTTCAGTGAGGGCGGGGGAGCATGAGCTGTGGGAGTTCCCGCCGCGGGGGTCGTCACAGTTTCCAGGTGTCGTCATCTGTCTGGTAGCTGACCTGTTAGGAATTCCAGGGCGGGACCGGTATGTGCGTCGCCATTTACCTGGTGCACTGGCCTGTTAGGATTCTAGGAAAGGCCCAGTATCTACATCACCATCTGCCTGGTGGAGGCATGCATCAGCTCCTGGACCCCCTTTCGACCTAACAGGCACCACAAGGCAGGAGGCCCTGGGGCCGTCTGCAACTAGCACCAGGAAATGCAAGAGCACCCAAGCCTCTGAAGTTGTGCCCGGGGAGCTGCTCTTCCAGCGTAGGCTGTTGCTGTTCATCCTCATCCTCATTAGCAGCAGCATCATTATTGTTTGCTAAAGGCTGTGGGGTTTCATAAATAGCAAGAAAGAGAAGACGTGTCATCATACATTATCCACATCAGCAGAGGGAAGGATGAGGCCCCGGTGAGCAGCTCAGATAACAGCTCAGATAACAGCCGGAGGGAGAATCAAGGCCTTAGGCCCGGGTGGGGTTGGGCTGAGAGAACAGAAGGAGGCGGGCTTCGGAGCCCTGATTCTGCGGGATCAGCACCAGGCTCCACATGGCAGCTTCCACCCTGTTCTGTTTCGTTTGCTAGGACTGGGTACAGTCTTGTGTTACAAGTTTCCACCCCTGCGAGCTGTACCTTGTGTTTTTGTCAAAGGGAGGTGAACCTGCAGGCAGGGAACCCTAAAGGAGGTGACGCTTAAAGGATAAACAGAGGCCACTGGTCAGCTCTTCTCTACATTTAGGAGGGTCCTTTTCAGCACCCGACCACTCATGGAGGCCCAGGCACTGCTGTGCCAGGAACCCTGTGCATGTGGTCTTGCTGAAATCCTAAAGACCGTGCAATTGGCACCGTTCCCGCGGCAGCACAGTGCTTCAGTGGCAGAATCAGGATCTGTACCCGGGTTTCTCTGGTCCCCATCCTGCAGCCATCCTGCTTCTCTGTGAGGGTGAAAGGGCGAGGGCTATGCCCTCCATCTTGCCCCGTACCCTCCATGTTGGGGCAGCCCGCCATGTGCTCAGGAGAGTACCTTCTTCCTGGAAGCCCAGGCCCCTGCTGGCCACGCCCGGGATTTCTTTAAACTAACCAGTGACAATCAAGGGATGTGCGCGCCATAGAGATGACCACATCCTGTGTAAGAAGACCTGACTGGAGCCTGGCCAATCGGCAGGGCCCACAGTCAGCTCCCCTCCCCTCACTCCACCCCCTATTAAAACCCTGTTTCTCCCACGGCAGTTTCACTCTGCTTCCGGTCGCTGCGTCGGCCAGGATGGGGAGTCGAGCTAGCTCAATACAGGACCCTCTGCTTTTGCATCGGACTGGCTGGCTCCCTGGTGTGGTTTTCTTGGGGATCTTGAAATCTGGACACAACAAGGGGAGAGTGGACAGTGTCCTCTACAAGAGGCGCATCCTGAGTCCCCTTCATTGCTGTAGGCAGCCCTTCAAAGTCCGTTTCTGGAAAGGAGCTCTTGTGTCTGTGCAGGTGAAGTATGGTAGCAATCATCTCAGGTAGAAATTATAGTTTAACTTTAAACCTGCTGTTTGGTTTCTGTACTTATTTGCTTGCTAAAATAATAGAAACGTTATTTTGATTTTCTGAATTATATAAATTATCCCATTCGATTAAATACCCTATTGATTGTAATGTGAATATCCCATTGGTTGTGGTCATACTGGTCTTAGAAAGCACATTCTTCTGTACCTAGGAAGGACAGCACAATTATTCCAAGGCCCGAGGGCTCGAGATAATGTGTTCCTGTTGACTCAGTGGTCCCAAGACCCGAGGGCTCTAGATAATGTGTTTCTGTCAACTTAGTGATCCAGAGACCCAAAACTATAATTTAGATAACACGCTGCTTCTGCTTCTGTAAACTGCTTTTTTGCAAACCAGGTTCCTCATTCCAAAGCCTGGGATGTAATCAATACCTTTGTGATCTTTGCCTACATAAATTTGATGTTGTGGCTGGGGAGGGCACTATGAGATCTGGGATAGCGAAATGCCCCCTCATAGTCCCAGATTTGCAATAAATGTGACTCTTTAATTTGACTTCTTGAGGCGTCCTTGTGTGATTCGCAGGGTACATTACAATATTTGGAGACCCCAGCCAGATGCAGCCCCTTAGGGGTGCTGTTTAGCACACAAAGGGAGGTCGAACCTCTCCTGGGCTGGTCATGGAGGCTGAAGGGTCTCTAGGGGGTGCGCACCCTGAGAAGTTTCAGGGTCCCGGAGAACTCCCCTTCAGATCCAGCTAGCGGACAGGGGACGTTGGCCTGTCCCTAAAAAAATTCCTCAGAGTCACCTGAGAAACCCTTTAGAGGTGAGTTTTGGCTTTTTGACCAGTCACTGGTGGATTGCGAGGAGGGCTGGACGCAGCCATAACTTCTCTGTCCTTGGAGTACCCCTGAGACGTCAGGGGCTACTCTTGGCTTTGGTTTCTTGGGTTTTTTTTTGTGAGCTTTATGTACCTTTTTGTCATTTCACTGAAATCCTCTTGGAGGACGTTGAGTGGTTTCATCCAGCCTCTTATTCTATTGAAGGATTAGATGAATGGATTACTGATCTAGGTTATCAAGGATCTCTAAGGGACTTGTCCTGTATCTGGAGGAATGACTTCTAGACGGTATTCACCATCTCTGGGACTTCCTGGAGGGAAGTCAAAACTTGGACTGGCTCATGGTTCGAGTCTGGCCTGTCTTTTAAAAAAAGGTAGAAGAGAAGCGTTCCTAGGCAGTTTTCTACTGTCTCTGTTCAGGGACTTGTTCTGTATCTCTGCACAATTGAAACTGATTTGTTGGTATTTTGTGGTGTAAATGTGGTGCGCGCCAGTGTAAAAGTGTTTTTATGTTTGTTTCTGTTTTGTTTTGTTTTCTTAAAAAAACACCTTCTAAACATCTCCTGAGTTTCCGTGGTGATTCAAAGTTTTTAATGGGGAGTGTTATCTGTCTGTATTGTTTAAATATGTGTCTCGTGCTAGGGTGAGGGACTGAGGCATGGAAGGGTTACAGAATGTTACAGAATGTGCTAAGGGGAGGAAATGGGACATGAGAAATTGAATGTGCTGGGAGGGGGGACTGACGTATGGAGGATTGTGTCAGGGTTAGGAACCATGGAAGAAAAATTGCTAGATTGTCTTAGAAAAACAATGTGTTATGATACGCTCCAGCCAGGTGTGACTCTGTTTACCCCCCCTTTGTGCTTATGAACTTTCTATGAACTTCTAAGGTAACACTGTTGTGCTATAAAGGATCATACTGCACCCTTGATCTCTGCCACATGCTCCGAAGCTCCCAGAGGGGGAGATAGGCACTGTGGTCAGCTGGCCAGCTTAATAAAGGCTCTTAAATTTAAATTCTGAGTCGGTGGTCTATCTCGCTGAGCCAACCCATAACAGTCTTTGTTGTTTAAAATTGTTTAGCTAGTGAGATTTCTGTTTGTGTCTCTTAAAAAATATGAGTGTATTGCTAATCTGAGGAATGTTAATTATTTACATGTCACCTAAAAATTAAGGCTAAGAGTTCTAACTGACTGGAAAGTATGGCTTTGGTGTAATGGAGGAAGGTAAAGAGAAATACTTAATGGAAGGTCTGAGGCATGGTTATGCATTTTTGAAGGACATAGAAGGTTTGAAGGCTAATTTGAAAGTGTGAAATTTGTGAAGGTTGTGTATGTGATGAGAAGGAAAAGAGAAATGTTGAAAGAAAGTTGGATGATAGGACAGTAACCTGGGACAAGTAGAATAGGAAAACTGAGCAGAAATCCTATCTTCCCTAAACCAAGGACACTTGGGAGTAAATGATTTGCATTTGCCTCCCGAAACAAAGTTTAAATAGTTTATGTCAATCTGATTAGTGTCATTTGCTTTACACACCCAAGGACAAATGAAGTTAGAAAATAAGCCTTATTTATTTATTTATTTATTTATTTATTTATTTGACTGTCCTAAATTGTTTATTAGGTAAAGATTTTACAAACATTACTTATATTAGCGGTAACGGTGGAGCTGGAGAGTATTTCGCCTTCTCCAAGCTGCACGGCGAGAACCACCAATAGTGTGGTGGAACTTGTGGCCCTTCCCAAGGCCACGGCTCTTGCGGCCCGCAGATGTCAGCCCTTACATCTCCCTGTGCTTGTGGACTGGTTTGGTGATCCACTGGGTGTCAGGATTTCTTCTGATAGCTTTATGGAATGGATCAATGAGAATAACCTCAAAGAATTTGTACGTGGAATCTTCACCAACCCAGGAAGAATTCAGGACTCTCAGAGCCCCACAGTAGCGTCCAGCTCGCTCCTCGGCAACAGACTGAAGACTTCGCGCAAACTTCAGCTGGTTAACGCCATGATGGACAGGCTGGCCGTAGGTCGCACCCTTAGGAACAGGGCGCTTGTGGCCACCGCGGCGCACACGAATCCGATATATGTCATAACCTTGCTTGGCCGTGTTGCCCAGCCTGCGCGCTTCGTCCGGCCGGGTGGGGCGGGGCGCCCTGTGGAGCTCCGAGAGCTGGCGGTACTGCCAGCAGCGCATGCGGAGAAGGAAGCGCATTATATCCGACTGCTTCTTCCTCCATAGCTCCTGGATGTACTTGTAAGCGCCCACCTTGGTCTACCTGATGGCTGTGGCCAGACGGAAAGGAAGAGCCCAAGCCTTATTTTGATTAGTTCTTTTATTCAGGTATTTTTTAAAGAGGAGGCAACCCGGTCCCTCCCTGCAACATGGGTTATAGCTCCTCCTCAAACTTGACTGTCTTAGAATGTATGTTAAGGAATTTTAAAATTGCTCAAACCTTGCTGCGTTGGGTCCGGTTCTGTGTGTGTAAGAAGGGACAGAGAAAGGTTTAGTAGCAGGAGTGAAGAGGCAGGCAGGGCAGGAGCAGGCCAGAAGAAGCTGGCAAGGCCATCCAAACCACCCAGCCACTATTGGCCAGAGCCGCCTGAGGCAGACCTCCTCGGACTGGCAACAGCTGACTCTGACTAGGACAAACTGGGCTCTTTCCAAATGGGCCCCCATGAGCCAATGGTCGAAATGAAAATCGGGGGCCAGACTGTGAACTTTATGGTTGATACAGGGGCAGAGCACTCGGTAGTTACTCAGAAGGTAGCTCCCCTCTCAGGACAGGAAGTCAACATTATTGGAGCTACCAGGACCACAGCTGCAGACCGTTCTGCCGCCCCAGCCGATGTCAGTTAGGCGGCCACCAGGTGGTTCATGAATAACTGTATTTTCCAGATGGCCCAATCCCTCTAACGGGCAGAGACCTTTTAGCCAAAATGGGAGCGGAAACCACTTTTGACCCAGATGGCTCAGCACAGCTTTGCCTAGGCCCTAGGTGAAGAGACCTCCCCAATTATTCTGTCCTTAGCAGTGCCAAGGGAGGAAGAATGGAGACTTTATACCCCCCAGCCAAAGGCCCCCACATCTGTTCTTGCCAGGCCCCCATCAGGGGACTTGGGCAGTGTTCCTGTTATCTGCTCAAGATCCCAAGACTGTAAAAGTACTTGTTACCATTTGGTTATTAGTTTTTTAAAATCAGTACTTTTTAATGGAAACACACTCAAACAAAGGGGCTTTTTGGAGAGGTCAGGGAGTCTGATTGCAGGGAGTGCTTCCCCTGGCCAGCGTAAGGGCCGCTGGCTGGAGGCAAGCGCTTTTTTCCCAGGGGGAACAGAGAGAAAAGGACTGCCAGATGAAAATGCCTTTCTCCCGTGGCGGAGCACCTTCACTAGTCACCTGGGGACCTGCGCTGAGCTCCCTGCCTCCACCTATCTGGCTAAAATCTCCCTCGCCCTTTGCTCACCAGGTTGTAATTGCCTCTCATCCTGCAGTTGGCTGCGGTGGCAAGGAGGGAAATTTCCCTGTGCCTCCTTGTGTCTCCCTGTGCCCCAATGAAACCCAAAAACCCCCGGGGACAAGGCCTCCTTGGACACTTTTCACCGTGTTCTGTTGGGGCTTTGGGTGGGGGGTGGGGGGTGGGGGTGGGGGCTTAAAAGGCAGCAGCTAGAAAAAGAAACTCCAAAAATTAGAAGGATTTGAAGGAATGGATCGGTCACAGCTGGTAGAGGTAGCTTAGAAAGTCTTTAACAATAGGGACACCCTGGAGGAGAAATAGGACTAAAAAAAAGAAAAGGCTGGCAGGAAACTAGGAAGGGAATTAGTATGCCTATTGTAGGAAGTAGGGGCACTGGAAGAGAGAATATCCTGGAAGGTTAATAAAGAAAAGTGGAAGGCTGAGGGGAAAAACCAAGCTGGAGGATTTACACTCAGGGAAGGGGACTAATAGGGCCAGGACTCCTTTTCCTTGAACCCCTTAGAGCTCAGAATAATAATTTTTATAAATAGGACCCCCAGTTAGTTTCCTGGTGTATTCTGGGGCAGCCTATTCAGTCTTGACAGAGCCAATGGGACCCGTAACATCTAAGAAGACATCGGTCCAGGGAGCCAACGGACAAACTGCCTTTTTCCTTGGACATCAAAGGGGACTGTGGACCTCGGAAAGAACACGGTAACACATTCATTTTTGGTCATGCCGGAATGCCAGTACCCCTTACGTGGACGTGATCTCTTACAGAAACTACAAGCCACCATATCCTTTGAGGGGGATGGAGCACACTTCACCGTGGATCCAAGGAAACCAAGCCCGGACCCATCGTCCCCTGTCTGTATTCTTCTAACCTGTCCTCTCTCAGATGAATATCTCTTGCAGGAAAGGGCCAAGGTGACTCTGCTTACTTGGGGAAATTACAACATCTCTTTCCCATGGTTTGGGCAGAAAACAACCCCCCCCCCCCCCCCCCCCCGGGGTTAGCAAGTCATTAAGCTCCTGTAGTAGTCCAATTGCAAGCCACTGCCACTCCAGCTCGGATAAGGCAATACCCCCTGAGTTTAGAAGCAAAGAAGGGAATTGCCATCTTTGCATTCGAATGGAATGACCCAGAGGGTGGATTCTCAGGACAATGAACCTGGACTAGACTGCCTCAAGGTTTCAAAAACTCTCCCACCCTTTTTGGTGAAACCTTGAGCTCAAACCTACTTGCCTTTAGACAGGAGCATCCAGAATGTACCCTACTCCAGTATGTAGATGATCTTCTGCTGGCAGCAGATACTGAGGAAAATTGCCGACAAGCCACTGAGGGCCTGTTAGGCACCTTACAAGCATTAGGCTACTAGTGTCAGCCAAGAAGGCACAGTTGTGCTCCTCTGATGTCACATAACTGGGGAACGACATTAGCAAAGGCAGACGGACCCTCTCCCTCAGTTGAATAGAGGCCATCTTACAGATCCCCATGCCTACAACCAAGGAGCAGGTTTGGGAATTCTTAGGGGCAATTGGTTACTGCCGCCTGTGGATACTGGGGTTCGCAGAGATTGCTAAACTGGACCGAAGTGGAACAACGGGCCTTTGAGAAGCTAAAGAAGGCTCTCTTCTCAGCACCTGCCCTTGCCTTGCCAGACGTCACAAAGCCCTTCCACCTCTACGTGAGTGAGCCTTCCTTTGAGGTGCTCTGGAGAGATGGATGTCAAATGTCAAGGTCACCCAGTACCAAGTTCTTCTCCTGGACCAGCTCCGCATCCGATTCCATAAGACACTGGCCATCAACCCTGCCAGCCTGCTCCCAGATGATGATCTGGAGGAGCCCATCCATGACTACATAGAGGTAACAGACACAGTATAAACGGCTCGCCCAGATTTGACAGATGTCCCGCTATCATCACCAGACAAGGTACTGTTATGTACAAGATGGGAGCAGTTATGTTCAGGATGAAATCTGGTATACAGTGGGCAGTGGTAGTCACCCTAGACCGCCCAAGGAAACCGAGTTGCAGACCAAGCTGCCAAGGAAGCCGCCCCAAAACCAGTGGGGCCTTTACAAGAGGAGGAATTGGCAGGATAGAAGCAAGCTACCAGAGGACCAAATGGTTGGTGGACTCTACCAGATGGCAGACTGTTGGTCCCAGAGGCTCTAGGTCGGACTTTAGTTGCCCCGTTACACCACGCTACCCACATAGACATCACCAAGACTTCTGAACTTTTGTGAGGCAGGTCACAGGTAAATGCAAGGTAGGGGGGTCCCCCTGGGAATTTGGGCCCAATGAAACTCCCCAGGAGAGCATTGGGAGGTATAAGTATAGACTCCTTCTCGGGATGGGTTGATGCCTATCCCACCAGGACAAAAATTGTCTCTATAATGGTCAGGAAATTACTCCAGGAAATTATATTTAGATTTGGGCTACCAGCAGTCATAGAATCAGATAACAGCCCTGCCTTTGTAGGCAAGGTATCTCAAAGTATAGGTCAAGTCTTAGGCATAAATTGGATATTCCATTGTGCATACCAGCCACAGATTCAAGGCAGGTATAAACAGGACTCTAAAAGGACTTTAACTAAATTTATCCCAGAAACCAGTGAAAACTGGACCAAACTCCTGCCCTTTGCCTACTTACAGGCCAGGTGTACCCCCAACCGGGAGGGGTTCTCTCCTTTTGAAATCATGTTTGGTAGACTTCCCCTGATCCTACCCAAAGTTAGGGGAGGAATTAAATGCTAAAAGTCATAACCATTCCTTGCTGAAGTCCTTGCAGGCCCTGCAGTATACCCAGAGAGCCACCCATAGCCACCCATAGCTTGTTCAAGACGCCCTGCCAGTGCCACCTCGGACCCTGCACATCCCTTTCAGCCTGGGGACTCGGTGTGGGTAAAGAAGTTCACTACCCAAGGACTCACCATAACTTGGAAGGGACTATACACTGTCGCCCTAAGCATGCCCATGGCTGTTAAGGTTGATGGCATCCAGACCTGACTACACCACTCCCAGATTCTGCACCAGAAAACGGCCTTGATCCTGGCAGCCAGCGGCCTCACCCATGAGATCCCTAGCCTGGGCTCCACTCAGGCCAGGAGGAGGCTCAATGCCCGCAGGAGGGGAATTGGGCTTCAGTGAGGACAGTACTGATGGGGACCCTGGCACTAGAGCACTTGGTAACTGTAAGAACATTTTTAGTAGCCAGTGAGAAAGTCCAGAGCCAAGTGGGGCTAGATGTGCTAGGGGACAGGAGAACAGAAACAGAATAGAGAATGCCCCTAAAAGAAGTGGGGTGAGTAAATAGAAAACTAAATGTGCCCAGCTGGCAGTTTAGAAAAAATTAATTAGGTCAAACTACTTGTAGTTAGGGGGCAGTACAATCCCCAAAACTAATAAGGATGAGTCCAAGATTTGACTCATGTACATAAAACCAGTGGGGAATGAAGTATGGAAGCAATCATCTCAGGTAGAAACTATAGTTTAACTTTAAACCTGCTGTTTGGTTTCTGTACTTATTTGCTTGCTAAAATAATAGAAACGTTATTTTGATTTTCTGAATTACATAAATTATCCCATTCGATTAAATACCCTATTGATTGTAATGTGAATATCCCATTGGTTGTGGTCATACTGGTCTTAGAAAGCACATTCTTCTGTACCTGGGAAGGACAGCACAATTATCCCAAGGCCCGAGGGGTACATTACAACACAGGATGGTGCATGAGAAAAAGGCCCACTATGCTAGTAGAAGGTGCCCAC